ACAATCTGGTGCTGCTGAAACAAACCCCAAAGACAGGAACCGCAGCACCACACCTTTCCCTCCAGCACATTGTCAGCTGGCATTTCTTGATCTGATGTGCAGAGATCTTTCCTATTCTGCTTAATTTGAGAGGGTTACTGGGAGCTTTTCTCTGTGTGAAAGAAACAAGCAGAAGGTTCATCATCTTTGAGTTGTTCCTTCAGAGAAGCTGAGTACAGCTGACTTAAACTGGTTCCCTTATTTCAGGGGTGGCCAACTCCCAAGAGACTGTGATCTACTCACACAGTTAAAAACTGGCAGTGATCTACCCCCTGGTGATCTATCACAAACGTCCAGTGATCTGCCGGCAGATCACAGTCTACCTGTTCAACATGCCTGCCTTATTTCTTCTGTCAAAGTCATGCTGACTAAGGATAATAATACGGCTGAGAGGAGCTTGGGTTTCACTTTATCTTTCTGTCTCTCGTCCTTCTGGTGTGGTGTTCTATATATAGCGTTTTAGTCTTATTATAAGTTATTGTAAGTTTAAGTTAAAGTCTGTTGTAACTGGATTTCTTATGGACGGTGCCAATCCTGAACGCATTGGATTTGTGACCATTATGCTCATTTGCCTTCAGTAAAGCTCTCTGCTGGATGAAATATCAATTTGCCTTTATAATATTTAAATACATCCTTATTGTTACCTTAACTCTTTGCTCATATGAGCTAATCGACTTCCCTCCCTCCCGCCTCATGGTTTTCATAATTGACTTCTATATCCTAGCATTGGTACCTCTTCCAATTTACATTTCACTTATTCCAATTATCACAAATTTTGAGTAAATATAAAAAGGCAGTAATCATTGTTACAGGTCTTTTAATATCAACCCTGCTAGTGTTGTTAATTGTTTACAATTATCCTTCAAATATTGTACAAATTTACTCCAGCCTTTTTGGAAAGCTCTATCACACTGGTTTTTGATTCTCCCAATCAGCTCCGCCAATTCTGTATATAGTGTTAAGGTTTAGTCTTATTATAAGTTATTGTAAGTTTAAGTTAAAGTCTGTTGTAACTGGATTTCTTATGGACGGTGCCAATCCTGAACGCATTGGATTTGTGACCATTATGCTCATTTGCCTTCTGTAAGCTCTCTGCTGGATGAAATATCAATTGCCTCTGGTCTACTTTTTGGGAATCCTGCAACGTGTTTCAGTTTTTGCTCTGCTAGCGATACGTCGGAGTTCTCCTCTGGATCAATACTGAGCAGAATTTCAATGACATGAACCTTGAGCTGGGTGCAGAACTCAGTCTATAGGCCATAAGCTTTACTCAGCCCCATCAAAGAGCTGCTAACCACATCTGATCTAGCTGTGACAATGCCATCACTTGTGTTTATCTGTGTTCAAATAGATAGTGTAGATAGATAGTGTTCAGTTCACATGGAGAACGGGCTGACCGGTCGAGAAGGGATAAAGACATTCGTTGGTTGTTCCCCCGAGATCTACTCCTCAGAGACAAAGGAAGGAAATTAAGAACAAGACCAGCAGAAGACAAAGTAAAGTGCAGGTACAATTATGAAGAAGATCTGCAGAAGGGACATGGAAAAGAGTTAAGAGCCTCGGACATAAGATCACCAGGTTGATGGACTAGATGGAATAGACAGAAAAGACTGACAGAACCCGAGACCAGGAAGAAGAGACGGTGGATGAAGATTGGCAGAAAGTTTAAAAATTCGTTTAGAGAAATATTGCAAAATTAATGACTGTTAGGAAAATCTTGGAATGAAACTATTTGGCTTTAGTAGAAATGTTTTACAAATGTACAAATAAGTTTTTAAGTTCTAGGGTTGGTTACAAAGAATTAAGTAAAAATGGATTGTTAATGGGTCAAAGTGTAAAATTTAAGGTTAAATTGCGTTAAGATAAATTATAGAACAAAATCTCAGAAAGAGGGAAAGGACTTGCTGAAACAGCTAATTGAACCAGAATACAAAAAAGGGAGGTGTGAGGAAGTTGAGGAAATAAGTAAATGAAAGACAAAGATATGAAAATACCGGATGTGGTTTTTTAAAAAATGTTTTTGCTTTTAAATGTTTTTGTTTTTTCTTTCTTTTATTGCTTTGTTGTACTGTCTTTATTGCATTTTCTTTTATTTTTGAAGTATTGTAACTCTTTTATTGTTTGTTTTTCTTTCTTGTAATTGTTAAACTTTAATAAATATCATTTTTTTAAAAAGAAAAAAGATAGTGTTCAGTTCAGCCTGGGTTGGTTAGAGCGTGGGACTGATAATGCCAAGTTTGCAAGTTCGATTCCCATAGGGGACAGCTGCATATCCCTGCATTGCGAGGGGTTGGACTAGATGATCCTCAGGATCCCTCCCAACTCTACAATTGTGTGATTTTCAAAGTAGCCAGGATGCAACAATGTGGAGGGGGAGCATGAGAAAGCATCCGCCCCCACCCCTGCAAATTCAAGAGCACAGTGCATGGCTTCTTGGTGTGTACACCATCAAAACAAATATGCAACATAAAGGCCAGGAAATTGTAATAGAAAAGCAGATAAAAACCTGGATTATTAAATTAATATGGGGACGCGGGTGGCGCTGTGGGTAAAAGCCTCAGCGCCTAGGGCTTGCCGATCGAAAGATCGGCGGTTCAAATCCCCACGACGGGGTGCGCTCCCGCTGCTCGGTCCCAGCGCCTGCCAACCTAGCAGTTCGAAAGCACCCTTAAAAGTGCAAGTAGATAAATAGGTACCGCTTACCAGCGGGAAGGTAAACGGCGTTCCGTGTTGTCAGGGGCTCAGGAGCAGAGGCGCAGGGGAGAGAGGGAATGGAGAGCAAAGGGGAAGAATCTGAGGGCAGCGGAGGGCAGAATGACAGTGACCCGAGAGATTCCATAAGGCTCTCCAGTGAATCAGAAGATTCCCAGAAGGGGGCGCCGATGGCCAGGGCAAGGGGGGTCCCAGGGGGGACACACCAGAAGCAGGGGGCCAGCGGAGACTCCCAAAGCAGTAGCTGGAAATCAGGGCCAGCTTCCCCACCAGAGCGTAGTGGGGGGGAAGAGCCCCATAGGTCAGAGTCAGCGTCTCCTCCGGCAAGGAGGGAGGAGGAGTCAGACCCAGCTAGCATCCCCGAAGAGGGAAGCAGCGACAGGAGCAGTATAACGGTCAGAAGGAAGGTGGCAGGCTGGGCGCGCGCGCCAAGTTCAAATGTACAGGCGCGCGGGACAGCAGAAAACCCGGATTGGGAACCAGGTCCTAAAGCTCGCCGGAGGGAGGGGGAAGACTCAGGGGATTCAGCGTCAGAAGAGTCTAGGAAGGGCAGGACCTCGGCGGACAAGCGGACCCAGAGAGGAGGGAGCAGAGGAAGAGGTGGAGCAAGGCTAGGGTCTTAAACTGGTGTCTGGGGGGAGGAGACTCAGACAGAGCTTCGGCGGTCTAGGGTTTAAGACGTAGAGCTGCGCGCCGTGGCTGTAAAAGAGAAACTGAACTTTAATAAAGACTATTTTATATAACAACAGACTGGCGTTGGTCCTCTGTGAGCTGGGACCTGAGGCAGCTCTGACACGTGTGGTGCGCTGGCTCGCCAGATGCAGCTTTGTCACGCTGGCCACGTGACCCGGAAGTGTCTCCGGACAGCGCTGGCCCCCGGCCTATAGAGTGAGATGAGCGCACAACCCTAGAGTCTGGCAAGACTGGCCTGTACGGGCAGGGGTACCTTTACCTTTATTAAATTAATATAATAACAACAGTTCCTTGCCAGGGACCTAGGTGCTGGCCTGCACCAACATGCTGCCTGTCCCCAAAACTGACCACAGGAGTAAAGAGCAGAGCTCACCGCATCCGTCCTGGCTGTGCTTTTGCCTGTTAACCAAAGCGCTTGAGAAAATGACAGAGCAGCAGAGTGAGGCTGGAGGTGAGAAAGAGGAAGGATGCTGCCCGCTCAGAAAGGGGTCATGCAAACTTTAGAAGCTGATGGGGCCAAAGTGGCCTCTCTGAGCTCAGCACCCTCTTCTCAGAGTGGGCCCCTCGTGGGAAGCAGCAGTAGAGCAGAAACTGAAACCCCAAGGAGCAGGATGGGACACTTTGTTAGGATCGTTGTCAGAACATCCTGCTCCATTGCAGATGCCACAATGAAAACATCAAGCCAACTCCTGCTTATGCAGAGTCAGACCACCGGCCCAGTTAGCTCACAGACCGGCTGAAGGAGGTGCTCATCGGAGATTAAACGTGGGGGAAAACCTCCTCTTCCCCCAAAAAGTTGCCCTTCCCGAGCCAGCCAGGAGTCGAACCTAGAATCTTCTGATCCGTAGTCAGACGCGTTATCCATTGCGCCACTGGCCCTTGGACGTGTGTTACTCTGGCTGGTTTGGCTGAAGACAGAGCTGACTTAACATACATTCAGCATCCTGATTTCCCTCGGCTGAGAGAACCAGGAGACAAAGAGGCGCAGGGCAGCCTCCAGATGTGTTTATCTTTCCCCTTTCCCAACCTATAAAGGCAAATAGCAGGAGGGGCTTGATTATTTCCCTGCTCATCATGATCAAATGCAGCAGCGGATAGCAAACGGCAGGCTCCAAAGAGCTCAGATTTGCATGCATCTAATCCGAAAAGGAAACAAAGCAGGGATACTGGTCGGTCCTCTGAGATCCCGTCGATCATCCTAAAAACTCATCGCTGTCAAGCGACGCCCAATGCGAATCCCATAAGCCGCGAGCAAAGCTTCAAAATTCCCGCGCGGCTTCTCATTTGCCCAGTTCGTTTCTCGGATTGTAACGGGCACTTCTGATTGGATGGCGGGAGAAACTGAACCAATGAGAGCGAACTCTCGATTTCACCAATAGGAAACGGACTCCCGTTGGCGCTAAAGTGAAGGAGCCTTGGTTAGCCAATGACAAACAAACGCTTCCACTGCTATTTGCATACTACATTGCCGACCAATAGGAATTTGAGGGTTTGAGGTGCTAATTTGCATGAGACTCGTATAAATACAAGCGGCGGCGAAGAGCGCTTCATTTCTCTCTCGGCGGTTGGTGGAAGCGTTTCGAGATGCCTGAGCCTGCGAAGTCGGTTCCCGTGCCTAAGAAGGGGTCGAAGAAGGCCATCACCAAGACCCAGAAGAAGGGCGACAAGAAGCGCAAGAAGAGCAGGAAGGAGAGCTACTCCATCTATGTCTACAAGGTCCTCAAACAAGTCCACCCGGACACGGGCATCTCCTCAAAGGCCATGAGCATCATGAACTCCTTCGTCAGTGACATCTTCGAGCGCATCGCTGCTGAGTCTTCCCGCCTGGCCCATTACAACAAGCGATCCACTATCACTTCCCGGGAGATCCAGACCGCTGTTCGCCTGCTGCTGCCCGGGGAGTTGGCCAAGCACGCCGTGTCTGAGGGCACCAAGGCCGTCACCAAGTACACCAGCTCCAAGTAAACTTGGGGGGGAAAACCCTCCACTTAAACCAAAAGGCTCTTTTAAGAGCCACACAAATTATTTTAAAAGATGCAATCACTACTGAGTTTTATTTCTTAGGGCTTCCAACTTGTCCCCAAAATATCTACTACAATCTGGCCACCACATTCAAAAGTAACAGTTTAAAATGTATTAAGAAATTGGTTCAACAGAGTTACTAGAATTTAAGGTGGGGGAGTGGCTTCATTGGTGTAATAAGCATTAAGAACTGTTTACCAATCCAATAAGTGTTTGAAGTGTAAGGAGACTGAAGGAACCTTTTTCCACCTCTGGTGGACATGCCCGAGAGTGAAGGCCTTCTGGGAAATGATTTACAATGAGCTAAAAAAGATATTTAAGTATACTTTCCCTAAGAAACCAGAGGCCTTCCTTTTGGGCATTGTTGACTAGAAGGTGCTAAAAAAAGACAGAACCTTTTTTATGTATGCAACAACAGCAGCAAGAATACTGATTGCAAAACATTGGAAGACACAAGATTTGCCCACACTGGAAGAATGGCAAACGCAACTGATGGACTACATGGAACTGGCTGAGATGACTGGCAGAATTCGAGACCTGGGAAAAGAGGAGGAGGAAGAGGACTGGAAGAAGTTTAAAGACTATTTACAAAAATTTTATAAATTGTATGAATGTTAAGAAAGTGCATGAATGGAAGGATTATGGCATCAGTTGCCTAGATGAGAATCGTATGAAAATAAGTTGAAATATAAAGACGAGATTTGAAGTAAAGTTATGCCTAAACTAAGTAGTTAAATATTTGATGGAAACATTTAAAATTTGAGACATAACATATCAGAATTAGAATATAAGATTTGAAAGAAGGTAATAAATTGCTGAACATATCTTATTAATGGAGAACGCAGGAAAGGGAAACGTGAGGAAGTCCAGATGGTTATGGAAAAAGTATATGAAAAATTGGGATTTTTTCTTTTTTCTTTTCTTTCTTTCTATAGAGCTGTAAATTATGATTTCTGTGTTTGATATATGCTTGGTTATCTTTTTTTCTCTCAAAATGCAATAAAATATTGAAGAAAAAAAAAGAACTGTTTACGAATCCAGTACAGTGGTACCTTGGGTTACATATGCTTCAAGTTACATACGCTTCAGGTTACAGACTCCGCTAACCCAGAAATAGTACCTCAGGTAATAATAATAATAGTAATAATAATAATAATAATTTATTATTTATACCCCGCCCATCTGGCTGGGCTTCCCCAGCCACTCTGGGCGGCTTCCAAAAGAATATTAAAATACTATAATACATCAAAGAACTTTGCTTCAGGATGAGAACAGAAATCGTACTCCTGCGGCATGGCAGCAGCAGGAGGCCCCATTAGCTAAAGTGGTGCTTCAGGTTAAGAACAATTTCAGGTTAAGTACGGACCTCCAGAATGAATTAAGTACTTAACCCGAGGTACCACTGTACAGGAAAAGGCAAGTTACTGTTTTTTGGGAGACAACATTGTTCTGTTGTAATGACTGGTAACATATCAACCTACCACTAGTCCTTTGCATAAGCACATACATTGAATAGCTATATACACATTTTCTAATTGGTAATTAACCATTTTCTTTTGTGCAGCTTCGGGATCTGATAATATAGTTCGTTTTATGTGGTTCTATGGTGTAATGTTTAGCACTCTGGACTCTGATTCCCGCGTTTTGAGTTCAAATCTCAGTAGAACCTACAATTTATTTCCCCCCTTGAGTCACAGTGAGTAAACGTTCATTAAGAATTATCAAGTCCTATCACTTACCCAACTTTATACTTCTCTCAAAAATGTTGCCTGGTCACTTCCTCCCCCCACTCTGCACTTTGTACCATATATTAATTGTGATTTCACATCTGTGAAACTAGAAACTGAATCCATTTCTTTATTGTATTAAATCTGAATAGTAAAACCTTGGTATGTAGTTGTGTTCCTTTACAACCTTTTCAATAAAATAAATATTGGACGCAGGAAAAGCGGTTTTGAGTTTCAGCCAGTCTTTTCCCAGGGGACTATTTAGTGACTTAAAGGTAAAGGTAAAGGTACCCCTGCCCGTACGGGCCAGTCTTGCCAGACTCTGGGGTTGTGCGCCCATCTCACACAAGAGGCCGGGGGTCAGCGCTGTCCGGAGACACTTCCGGGTCACGTGGCCAGCGTGACATCGCTGCTCTGGCGAGCCAGAGCCGCACACGGAAATGCCGTTTACCTTCCCGCTAGTAAGCGGTCCCTATTTATCTACTTGCACTATGGTGTGCTTTCGAACTGCTAGGTTGGCAGACGCTGGGACCGAGCAACGGGAGCGCACCCCGCCGCGGGGATTCGAACCGCCGACCTTTTGATCGGCAAGCCCTAGGCGCTGAGGCTTTTTCCCACAGCGCCACCCGCATCCCATTTAGTGACTTATTTAGTGTCTAATCAAGGCAAGAATACCTGTGAAATCCGAAAACTCATGTTTTGAAGGAATTGGAACCTCCCCAAACTTATTTTCTCCCTATCTGGGGTTCAAACTACTTTTCCACTTGATATTCCCCCAGTTCTCTCCCACAGCAGCCTCCAAATATATTATCGGTCAATGTGTTCTGGTAACATGAAGATAGGTGACAGCTGCAGTTCTGATTCCTATTACCTAGGAGTCATTGTCATCTTTTTGGCGATCTCTCATGGCCGAGTTAGATTGTCTTCCATAAACATGGTTTTAACAGTGAGTTCGTAAGTGACTGTGGAGGCCAATTCTGGATCCACACGTCCTTCCACAGTGGGGACATAGGTTTCCAGGCGGGAATTGATCACTGTGAGGGTTTGCCAAGTGTGCCTTCCTCTTAGCGCGTTTCTCCCTTGCATCCTGAGTTCGAGTGTCTTCAAAGCCCATGATGCCTTTGGTAAAGGCTGTTCTCCAATTGGAGCGCTCACAGGCCAGTGTTTCCCAGTTGTCAGTGTTTGTACTACATTTTTTAAGATTTGCCTTGGGACAATCTTTAAACCCTTTTTGTTGACCACCAGCATTATGCTTTCTATTTTTAAGTACGGAATAGAGTTGTTGCTTTGGAATACGATAATCAGGCATCCAGACATGACCAGTCCAATGAAGTTGTTGTAGAATCATTGCTTTGACACTGGTGATCTTTGCTTCTTCCAGTACACTGGCATTAGTTTGGCCTTCAAAGCAAGGTTCTTCCTGCTTCAACTTGTAGACTTTATAGATTGAGTTTTTAAAAATTAGTTCTAGAACACTTACCAGTTTAGAATCTAAACCTTTGGCTAATTAAGCAATCTGTGTTGCGGCCTTTTAAACTGTGCCTGGGGGGTTATTGTTATTTTCACTACGTATTTTTGTATTGTAAACCGCCCTGTAATCCTGATGAAAGGTACAGTAGTATAGAAACTTAATAATATAATATTCAGCTTTTACCAAGGGGCGCTAAAGCTAAATTAACTCTGGTCTCTTCTCCATTCCCTTAGTTCACAGTTAAAATTAGCGGATAGATTTAAGTGAAGTGGAATTTCTGTCTCGTGTCGTGCTTTTTCCAGCCATTTATTTGTCAAAAAATAAATACAAATCACCGCAATTCGATTTCCAAGAAGCTAGGACGGGTGTTATCAAAAGCACCGAAGTTGTAATTCATGTACGCTGACAGAAGTTTATCTTCACTAGGAAAACGTCGTTCGGCAGGTTGAATTGTATGAAGACCCGCGGCGTATTTTTACTGGTTGAGAGGCGTGGGTGGAGCAAACGTTGAAGTTTTCCCTCTGGTCGGATCAGATGATATAAAAGGACAACTGCAGAGGCTTACGCTACATTGGTTTCTCGTGAGACTGCAGCCGATTGTGATTTTGCAAAATGTCTGGCCGTGGCAAAGGTGGCAAGGGCTTGGGCAAAGGAGGTGCCAAAAGGCATAGGAAGGTCCTTCGTGATAACATCCAGGGAATCACTAAGCCCGCTATTCGCCGGCTGGCTCGCCGCGGAGGAGTGAAGCGTATTTCTGGGCTGATCTACGAGGAGACTCGCGGTGTCCTAAAGGTGTTTCTGGAGAACGTGATCCGCGATGCCGTAACTTACACGGAGCACGCGAAAAGGAAGACCGTGACCGCTATGGATGTGGTGTACGCCTTGAAGCGCCAAGGCCGTACTCTGTATGGATTTGGCGGCTAAATTCTTGATTTCGTATTCGCAGCACAAACGGCCCTTTTAAGGGCCACCACTTGCCCATAAAAGAGCTGTTAAAATGCGCTAAAATGTTCTATTTTTTAAAAGGCTTTCTGCATCTGCACTAGTGAATTGGGAATTCTCGAGAGTTTGGCTTGACTTCATAGTAGAGCTGACTGAAGGGACGGAAGGCTTGAAGTAAAAAGCTTTATCGTTCCTGTTGGGGTTTTTTTTCAAGGTCACAAGCACCTAATGTAGCCTAGAACTAACATGGGCAGTTTAGATACTTGGTTTTCTTTGGTTGCACAATAACTATGCCTTTTCAATATATATTTCCAGAGCGTTCATGGCGGGCGGGGATGTAGCTCAGTGGTAGAGCGCATGCTTTGCATGTATGAGGCCCCGGGTTCGATCCCCGGCATCTCCATTAAACGTTTTGCACACGAAATTTTACGTTTTGATTTTTAAAAATAGGATTGATTTCCTGATTAGATATCGTCCTGGCCTACAGAAGATACCCCCACCTGAAGATTTTATTAATGCCTTCGATACTTGTTGAAAAAGGGGCATAACGAGTCCCCATAGGGCAATTGCCAAAACTACGCAATGCACGTGATTGCTCGAAGCCGTTTAATCCGATTATCAATGGCGCGCCCCCCCCGGGGATTTAAGGGAATCGATTATCATGAGAACACATTGGAATCTGATTTAGGAAAGCTTCATATCATAAAGGGAGGTGGCGTTTTTTTAGAAGCGCAACCGTGCTTGAAAAATTGGTCGACACTTCCGTCCCTGAACCTTGAGAAACAGAACGGAAGGGAAGGTTTGGGGAGATTATCGGGGGTTGGGAGAGAAACTACGGGGGGAATAAAAATAGTGCAGTAATCAAACGGTTTCCTACAGGAACTTGCAAGCCCCCGTTTTGAATGCTAAAGAGTAAAAGACAAAGCAACAGGGCTTTCTTTCAAAAATTATTCTGCGAAGAAGTTGGGAATCATGTGAGTGCTCAGCAATTTTATTGCGAATTTACAGTACTATATTCCGTTTCTCAAAAGGAAATTTGGTGTTTGTCTGATTTTTAATGGGAACAGATAGTCTGAATCTAAAATTAACCCTTTTTGATCTAATAATTGTATTATCTTTTTTAAAAGGATTTCCCTGAAACGTTTTGCTCAATTTGGCCTCTGGCTTCGAATCGCATTTTTGATTGGATAGCAATGCAAGCTTTCCAGTCAGCGACCAATAGCATATCGAGCTTGTAATTCAAACTGTAGGGAGCGTAGTTCTTGAACCAATGGGAAACACGTATTTTCTGCCTATAGAAACGCAGTATTTGAAACAGTCTCCTGACCAGCCAATCAGAAAACGAGTGCTTCAAGCCTTCATTTGCATAAAGCTGGTATAAAAGGTGTTTGTCTTTCTCTGCGCTACAGAAGTAGCGGCTAATTTTGAAAATGCCTGAGCCCGCGAAGTCGGTTCCTGTGCCTAAGAAGGGGTCGAAGAAGGCCATCACCAAGACCCAGAAGAAGGGCGACAAGAAGCGCAAGAAGAGCAGGAAGGAGAGCTACTCCATCTATGTCTACAAGGTCCTCAAACAAGTCCACCCGGACACGGGCATCTCGTCCAAGGCCATGAGCATCATGAACTCCTTCGTCAACGACATCTTCGAGCGCATCGCCGCTGAGTCTTCCCGCCTGGCCCATTACAACAAGCGATCCACTATCACTTCCCGGGAGATCCAGACCGCTGTTCGCCTGCTGCTGCCCGGGGAGTTGGCCAAGCACGCCGTGTCTGAGGGCACCAAGGCCGTCACCAAGTACACCAGCTCCAAGTAAACTTGGGGGGGGGAAACTCCTCCACTTAAACCCAAAGGCTCTTTTAAGAGCCCTCCACTTTTTCTTTAGAAGAGCTGTACTTGCTTTACACTTTAAAAAAGTCCTAGATGCATGCAGCAGATACCAGTGTTGTAAAATTAACCCAAGCATGCTTAAGGTTGGCTTATTGGATAACCACCACATATGCTCAATTTGCTATTAAATCAAGAAATAAACCAAGCTATTGCAGTTTCCCACCTAGTTGTAGCTGATATTACAGTCACAAACACGCAGCATTCTTTCCAGTATCCAAAGTTGTGAACTGTATACCAGCTGCCTTGAGCATGAAACAGCAAAGCTGGATGTTAAAACTGCAGGTTAGATCTATAAGGAGGCACTGTTCTTTTACGGAAATATCTGTAAAATTTCCCAATGTTATAGAAGTCCAAGCTATCTACCCCGTTGGTCCTATGCATAGACGCACTGAAAGTATATGAAGATCAGATATGGGTCTGCTGTAGGTCTAACTTAGCTGGCAGGACACGCCAAAGGTAGTTATTTTAAGCAGCGTCTCAGGTTGAAGACTCCTAAAGCATTAGCAAAGTGGCCAAAAATATTTGCATTTTTCTAAACTATCATGGACATACACATCCTGTAAAAGGGATCTACCACCACCCCGACCTAAGAGTGCTTACTGTTTATATCTGTTGAAGTTATATGCAGAAAATGTTGTATCATTTTGGGGCGCAAATTTTCGCCTATGTACACGGTGGGAATTTTACCGTACCGAAGGCAACACCGAAAGCAAAGAGAACAAGAGCAATTTCCAGCAATTTTGAGTATGTAGTGGCTCTTAAAAGAGCCTTTTGTTCTTTGAGCGAGGTGCGCCGATTTAAGCCCTTTCTCCGCGGATGCGGCGAGCCAGTTGGATGTCTTTGGGCATGATGGTGACCCGCTTGGCGTGGATGGCGCACAGGTTCGTATCTTCGAAAAGACCCACCAGGTAAGCCTCGCTCGCCTCCTGAAGGGCCATCACGGCAGAGCTCTGGAAGCGCAGGTCAGTCTTGAAATCCTGCGCGATCTCACGCACCAGACGCTGGAAGGGCAGCTTGCGAATGAGCAGCTCAGTGGACTTCTGATAGCGACGGATCTCTCGCAGGGCGACAGTCCCAGGGCGGTAGCGGTGAGGCTTCTTCACGCCCCCGGTGGCCGGGGCGCTCTTCCGGGCGGCTTTGGTCGCCAGCTGCTTGCGGGGCGCCTTCCCGCCGGTGGACTTGCGAGCGGTCTGCTTGGTACGAGCCATTACAGAGCTACAAGGAGGCGAAAAGAATAGAAAACAAACACCTTCTCTCAGGCTGACACCAACGACTTGTCGAAAGCGGCCTCTGGCGGGCTATTTATACTGTAATTCCTCTGTTTGGATTGGCTAAAAGCATTGACCAATCACTTGCCGGATTTGAATCTCCCGCGCTTTGCAGGGATTGGACGTGATTTGAAGCCACCACGTCTCAATCCTTTTCTCTTTTTATCTTCCCTAGTTTGCCTCGCTCACAATATATTTCTTGTTTCCAGGATTCTTCTAATAAAATGAAAGGCGAGGACACAACATAGGTGGACTTAATTTCATGAAGAACATACATTTCTGGGCTGTGCTCCCTCAATTTGAGTTTCAATTTCTTAGGGATTACCTAAGGGAGGGGAAACTAAATCTAAACTAAAACTAAGCGAGGGAAAACTAAATACTTTTATTTAAATATCCCGCGCGGCGACACGATTAGACAAAAGTGGAAGTGAGCTATTGACCAATCAGAACGGAGCAAATGGTAGCACAGCGCGAGACTTAAATTCTGCGGGAATTGTACAGAGAATTACAGAAAGTGCCGGTTTACATGCTTGAACCTGATTAGAGGAGTAGATAGAACACAAAAGAACAGAAGAAAATTTAGTCTTGCAAACTAAAATGAGAGAGAAAAAGAACTCCTTTCGTAAGGTAGCGTGGCCGAGCGGTCTAAGGCGCTGGATTAAGGCTCCAGTCTCTTCGGGGGCGTGGGTTCAAATCCCACCGCTGCCAGTATCTATTTTCCTGTTAACTGAATGCTGACCACATGACAGATTTTTTTTTTCTGCTACTGTCTGAGTTTTGGAACCCGCAAGCGATTTTATGTTCCCTTTCATACGACTGAGATTGTATCGTATGTTAAATATTAGTATTGTGTTCAGTGCTGATCAGTAGAGTATAGCATTCTTAATCTAACACTTTAAACTGTTAATGGGTATTAATAATATAGAATAATAGTAATAATTCATATACAGCTATTGTTTTTGCGATACCATTTCCGCGCCTCCCCGGCAAAACATGCGCTTCTCCCCGTCGGGGAATCGAACCCCGGTCTCCCGCGTGACAGGCGGGGATACTTACCACTATACTAACGAGGACTTTGCTGATCTGCAGTTTTCCTGATTTGATGTTATCCTAATAGTATTCGAGTCTGCCTAAGGGCTGAGACCTCCCAAAAAGCAGGTGTGACTAATTATGTACGAGGATGCTGCAGCCCTGGTTTTCTTTTTTAATGCAATGTTTCTCACATTTACCTGGGACGAAGGCCCATTGCATATAGTGAGGCTTCCTTTTGGATAAACACGCATAGGTTTGCACTGTTAAACAGCTTAGAAAGTGATTTCTGACCTTTCCTTGATTTTTGAAGTGATTCATTTTCCTAAGAGTTTCCTAAGAGTTTTCACTGATGAAGGAGAAAAGATATTGTGCCATTGTGCAACTGTATGCCACTGGGTTGATGGGTTTTTGTGTGTGCTGTTTCCATGATATTGTCTGTTACTATGACATTCCATTGAATTGTTGTAGCCACTGCTGTGTGGCATTATCTGTTTCTATTAATTTCTTTAAATATCTATCAAACATTTTGTATATTCAGTTCAAGGGGTCCAGAAGCAGTGTTGTATCAATTTCAGTTTTATACATTTCACCTTTTTCAGAGAAGCAGGAACAATTTATCTTCGCCTGATTTTCAACCTCACAACAAGCTTGTGAAGTTGGCAAGACTGTGAGGGAGCGACTGGCTTCAGATCACCTAATGAGTGACTTTTAGGTCATTTTATCACGAGTAGACAATTTACCTGCAAGTCTTCCCGGGTCTGATGTAGCACTCACCAGTCATAGATGTCAGCCAATGGATCCCAGAGACTACATTGCCACCATAGCCAGCGATAAAAGGATAAAATATCAGGGTGTTACAATATAGTTAGATGACTCCTTACTGACAGTGAAGTCTTAATAATAATAATAATAATAATAATAATAATAATAACAACAACAATAATTTATTATTTATACTCTGCCCATCTGGCTGGGTTTCCCCAGCCACTCTGGGCGGCTTCCAACAGAATATTAAAATACAAAAATCTATTAAACATAAAAAACTTCCCTAAACACAGTTGCCTTCAGAAACTTAGATAGTTGCTTATTTCCTTGACATCTGATGGGAGGGTGTTCCACAGGGCGGGTGCCACCACCGAGAAGGCCCTCTGCCTGGTTCCCTGTAACTTTGCTTCTTGCAGTGTGGGAACCCCCAGAAGGCCCTCGGAGCTGGATCTCAGTGTCCAGGCAGAACGATGGGGGTGGGGACGCTCCTTCAGGTAAACTGAGCTGTTTAGGGCTTTCAAGGTCAGCACCAACACTTTGAATTGAGCTTGGAAACATACTGGGGGCCAATGTAGGTCCCTCTGTGAGGGAACATTCCCAGATCCACTCAAAGAGGCGGTCGTTAAACCGCTTCTTAAAAAAAACATCTTTAGACCTGGCCAGTATGGCCAACTATCGCCCAGTCTCAAATCTGCCATTCTTGGGCAAGGTGATTGAGCGGGTGGTTGCTGAACAACTCCAAGCACGCCCGGAGGAAACGGACCATTTGGATCCCTTCCAATCGGGATTCAGGCCTCACCATGGGACTGAAACTGCCTTGGTCGCACTGGTTGATGATCTCCGGCGGGCTAGGGACAAAGGTGAGAGTTGTTTCCTAGTTCTGCTGGATCTCTCAGCGGCGTTTGATACCATCGACCATAACATCCTTCTGGACCGTCTTGAGGGGCTGGGAGCTGGAGGCTCTGTCATACAGTGGTTCCACTCCTTCCTCCTGGGCCATGTTCAGAAAGTGGTGGTGGGGGATGAGTGTTCAGACCCCTGGGCTCTCACTTGTGGGGTGCCTCAGGGTTCTGTCCTCTCCCCCATGCTTTTTAACATCTATATGAAGCCGCTGGGAGAGATCATCAGGGGGTTTGGACTGGGTGTCCATCAATATGCAGATGATACCCAGCTCTACCTCTCTTTCAAATCAGAACCAGTGAAGGCGGTGAAGGTCCTGTGTGAGTGTCTGGAGGCGGTTAGAGGATGGATGGCGGCTAACAGATTGAGGTTGAATCCTGACAAGACAGAAGTACTGTTTTTGGGGGACAGGAGGTGGGCTCGTGTGAAGGACTCCCTGGTCCTGAATAGGGTAACTGTGCCCCTGAAGGACCAGGTGCGCAGCCTGGGAGTCATTTTGGACTCACAGCTGTCCATGGAGGCGCAGGTCACTTCTGTATCCAGGGCAGCTGTCTACCAACTCCACCTGGTACGCAGGCTGAGACCCTACCTGCCCACGGACTGTCTCGCCAGAGTGGTGCATGCTCTAGTTATCTCCCGCTTGGACTACTGCAATGCGCTCTATGTGGGGCTACCTTTGAAGGTGACTCGGAAACGACAACTAATCCAGAATGCGGCAGAATTGACCTGCGCCTCCATGGACAGCTGTGAGTCCAAAATGACTCCCAGGCTGTGCACCTGGTCCTTCAGGGGCACAGTTACCCCATTCAGGACCAGGGAGTCCCCCACACCCACCCACCTCCTGTCCCCCCAAAATAGCACTTCTGTCTTGTCAGGATTCAACCTCAGTCTATTAGCCGCCATCCATCCTCCAACCGCCTCCAGATACCTCCAGACACTTGCAATAACCAAAGGCACCCAGACCCTGTCTGCTGTGGGACATCCACAAGGATCTATTCTTTGTAAACTTCAGTTTGGAGTGGAGTAGGAGAAACTGTCAGTTTCCTAAGGCACAAAGTCTGCATCTGTTGTTGTTATTGTTGCTGCAGACTCCCTTTATATCGGTGATATATCTATCCTCAGGCGACACAGCGGACAAACCTTCTTAACAATTATTTCAGGGGAAAGCCGATCAGTTTCTGTCCAGCAGTGGTTTAGACTTTCAATAAATTCCCGCGGAATATCTTGGAAGCTTGGTTCAAAAACAACTATACAATACCACTTTCCTTTCACTGAACTCCAGAAAACAGCACCTCATAAGACAAAACGGATGTGCTACTTGGCTCAATTAAATAAGCAATTGTCTTGAAATAATCCGCCGAAACACGTTCCTTTCTTGGTTACTGAAAAGGAAACCCTCTAAAGTATCCTATTAAATACTTTCCACAAGTGTCCGTCCAAAGAAACATTTGTTATTTTGACTTAAAAGCTAATGTTTACATATTTGAAGGCTTAAGAGCTAGCCAAGGGTTGAGCTCCCCTCTGTTTTCCAGGCTTGCCTTGCATCCCCCGAACGCGAAAACCAGATCCTTAAAATCGGACATATCCTCCCCATCGATCCCTCCCGGAACCGAAATTATCCGCGCAGCTAATTTCGATTAATTGACATTATAAGCGGATAAAGAAGCACACCGCGCAAATGCCCCCAGCCAGGAATTGGCGTGCACGCGCCGTCCCCGAAACGCACCAATCAGAGCGCGGCTCTTCCCCTATAAATACGGAGCTCCGAGCCGCTGCTCGCGCTCAGATTTCGGAGTGGAGGAAGAAGAAGGTTCACTGCGATAATGGCTGAAGTTGCTCCTGTCGCCGCTGCTGCTGCGGCCCCCAAAGGTACCGCGAAGAAGGCGGCCCTGAAGTCCCGCAAGGCCTCGGGCCCCAGCGTGACGGAGCTGCTGACCCAGGCGGTGACGGCGTCCAAGGAGCGCGGCGGCATCTCCCTGGCCGCGCTGAAGAAGTCACTGGCGGCCGCCGGCTACGACGTGGAGAAGAACAACAGCCGCATCAAGCTGGGCCTGAAGAGCCTGGTGACCCGGGGGATCCTGCTGCAGACCAAGGGCACGGGCGCCTCCGGCTCCTTCAAGCTCAATAAGAAGCAGGCGGACAACAAGGACAAGGCGCCCAAGAAGCCGGCGGTAGCGGCGAAGAGTAAGAAGCCCGCCGCGGCCAAGGTGAAGAAGGCTGTAGGAGGTGCTGGGGCCAAGAAAAGCGTCAAGAAAGTTGCCAAGAAGCCGGCGGCAGGAGGCGCCAAGAAGGCAGCCAAGAGCCCCAAGAAGTCCAAAGTCACCAAGCCCAAGAAGACAACGAAGAGCCCCGCCAAAGCTCTGAAGCCGAAGGCTAAAGCCAAGCCGAAGGCATCCAAGCCCAAACTCGCCCCTAAGAAAAAGTGAATTAACGTTTCTACTGGGGGGCGTCATTTAACACAAACGGCTCTTTTAAGAGCCACCCACAATTTCTGCGAAAGACTGAAATCACTGCCCTGATCGGCTTCTCTCCCAAGTTGTCGAAATTGATTGCTTTTATGGTTACGTATTACTAAATGAGATAACATTAAATAGTGGCAGCGTGAGCGAGCGGCCGTAAAACGCTGCATTAAGACTCCAGTCTTTAAGAGGGGTGGGTTCGGATCCCGCTGCCAGTTATTTATATTTGCTTCCTTATTTACATTTGTGCTCACAACAAAGGGGATGCGGTTTTTTTCTTACCATAGGGTCTACTGCTAATTCAATTTAATTGCTAATTGCAATTTAATGGAAGAATAAAGTTTTAGGAGAAAACGGCAGGTGCGGTGCGAGGGATCAACAGCGCATTTAGAACACTGCTTTGGTCATACCTGGCACATATTTTTACATTCCTGATTCATGGTCGGTTCGTACTGCAGGTTTGATGCTTAGGCTGCGTACTGCTATTTTTAAAAAAATACACCCTAACTGCCAACATGCACCGACGAGGATGGGATTCGAACCCAGGCGTGCAGAGCACAATGGATTAGCAGTCCATCGCCTTAACCACTCGGCCACCTCGTCGCGGCTGTTGCTCGTGATCGGGCTGTTATCCTGGCCAGGTTCACCTGTTATTCACCTCTCAGTTTTACCTATATCATTTTCATTAGGTTTAAGGGGAAACGGGGGGTGACTTGGAAGACTTCATATCCACTGTGTTAACACTGGTTCATTTGCTCCTGATACTTAACTCTCTTTCGCAGTGCTGGTCCACAGATGCTTGTTCAAAAATGGGTATTCAGACGTGCAACGAATTGCTATTTCTTTTAAAAAAGCTGGTCTCTTCCTTTTCCCTCCTTGTCGTCCCCCAGCCCATTTCTTTTCTCTTTATTTGCAAATGAAAAGTGCTCTTCCGTCTTCTTTCAGCAAGTGCTCAGTAAATAACTTAAATACTACTTGTAATGGCATGGCAACGATTCATTTCTTTTTAGCTTCATGTCCTCTTGTTTTTTCTTGAAGTGGCATAGTAACTCTTTAAAAAAATGAAATAAAGTGTCCACACAAAACGAAGCGTGTTTGAATGTTCACAGCGGAGAAACTTACTGTTAAGGACTGCATTTTCACTACTGACTCTTATTACTTATAGAGGCCGAAGAACAAAAACGTAGACTGCCAATGCCGAAACCCGGGATCGAACCAGGGACCTTTAGATCTTCAGTCTAACGCTCTCCCAACTGAGCTATTTCGGCCAGTGATAATAACTACCTTGATGTAATGTGCAATCTCAGCAGTTCTTGATACTGCTTTATTCAAAAGGCTATAAAAGTTTGCCTTTTGATATTCCCGAAGAGAGAGGAAATGTTATTGTGCGATAATATAATTAACTGAAGAAACATATGCAGAAATCTTAAAAGTAGACTAAAATGTACGTTGCATTGGCCGGGAATCGAACCCGGGCCTCCCGCGTGGCAGGCGAGAATTCTACCACTGAACCACCAATGCATCCGCTTTTGCCTTTTCCCCGTCAATGTATATGGAGAAGCTTTACAAGGTGTGAGCGGCATTTTGAAAACTTTGGACCTGTTAGTCTATTGTTGGCATGGTTTCATTTTGCAGCTTAGCCGTCCTGCTTTCCGAAAATAAATCTCGGGCCCCAGCAATCAAAAGGCAGCCTGTTCTCCGCCACTTGGGCGATGCCTCCTTCTGAGATTTCAACTTTTTCTTCAGTCTGCGCTGTGTTGAGTGAGCTGCGATCTCCTGTCTTAGGCGCACGAGAGGGAAGGAAATCACCCCGCCCGTCCGGAAGGCACTCTGCACATGTTTAAATGGGCTGGTTTCTTTAAGATTGCATAACGCCTTCCAGCTGATTACCCCGCCCCCTTTATTTCCCCCCCTCTAAAACTTTTACTGCTTAAGTTTAAGGAACTCAAACTGAAGTTTTCGTTTCTGGATTAAAGCTTTCCCTACTTTGGAGACACGAACACTAATTTTTAGCACTTCTGTAAACTCCACTAGAAATACATGCACGCACTTTCTGCTTTTAAATTACTCTTGAGAGTGAACGAGACAGGCTGCGACCAACTCTCTCCACTGGAGACGCAACCCTCTAAATTCTCCCCAGGGTTTGTGGCTAACGCGCATTTTGAAAATCGAGGGGGGTTAGGGGATGGGAGAACCCCCACTCACAAACAAAATGAGGTTCCACCGAGATTTGAACTCGGATCGCTGGATTCAAAGTCCAGAGTGCTAACCATTACACCATGGAACCAAGCATACCAGCTGTCTCCTGTCCCGTGACTTTGTTCCCATTTAATTGCACACTAAGATAATAACAGGTGCCAAACGCCACCCCTTCTTTCTATGTTTACATTATGCAGGAATATAGAAGAAAGGGTATAATCAGATACTATTTGAGTCTTGAAGCATTGTCTTTTTAAAAAAGAAATAGAGTACTGGAAACTGTTGCACCAGCCATTTCACTGGAAGTGTGAAGAAGGCAGGCAAAAGGGACTAGTATCATGGAACAGCAAAAAATATAAATATTCTTGACTTTTCAGGTTAACCTCTCATCGGCACCCATTCCCATGTTGCCATCTGTGTATATGGACACAAAAAACAGGTTTGGCAGGACCCAGACCACAGAGGCTTGCAATCTAAAAATAGACTCAAAGGAAGCTAAGGCTAAATGGAAGGAACATACAATTACCCATACTATGGCTTAGTTACAATAGGAATTTTAGTCTAGTGAGTTGTTCATGGGCGTAGCCGGGGGGGGGGGGGGCAGGGAATAAATCACCGTATTTTGCTGCTCTGGGAAACAGTCTGCTCTGGAAACCTGCATGCTTTATACTTAAGATTCAAACGGGGGTGGGGACGGGACCTGAATGGGACAGAGAAATCATTCTCCTAGTTTGCAGAATCTTCCCCCAAACACACTTGCATAGACTTCTCTGGCTTTATTTGCTTGGTTCGTAAAATTTATACACTGCTGTGAAAACAAAAAACAAAACCCTCAAAGTGGACACAAAGTACCATATTTTTTGCTCTATAAGACTCACTTTTTCCCTCCTAAAAAGTAAGGGGAAATGTGTCTCCGTCTTATGGAGCGAATGCAGGCTGCGCAGCTATCCCAGAAGCCAGAACAGCAAGAGGGGTTGCTGCTTTCACTGCGCAGCGATCCCTCTTGCTGTTCTGGCTTCTGAGATTCAGAATATTTTTTCCCTTGTTTTTCTCCTCCAAAAACTAGGTGCATCTTGTGGTCTGGTGCGTCTTATTGAGCGAAAAATACAGTAGATTTGCTTTTTTGGATCAGACCAATTACTCTTCTCCTGTCCAGCAGTCAAACTGCAGCTTGCCAGCTGCTTCTGGAAAGTTTACAGGCAAGTAAAGGTTATGTTATCCCTCTTGTTTGGGTCAAGCACCCGCTGCTATGACAGACATCTAGAAAGCTTCTCTTTGGGGGACATAGCAACAGGGTGCCATCAATTTCTGGGCAGGACATTCTTTTCTTTCTGAAACGGTGAAGATAGCAGCTACATAGGCAAGTATTTATAAGGAATAAGAGAGACATGGTACTAGTTTTGTCAGGAAATTTGCAACCTGACTCCAACAACCTGTAACTGAGACAATCTATCCTTCAATAGTGAGGGGTAAAGGGACCCCTGACCATTAGGTCCAGTCGTGACAGACTCTGGGGTTGCGGCACTCATCTCGCTTTATTGGCCAAGGGAGCAGGCGTACAGCTTCCGGGTCATGTGGCCAGCAGGACTAAGCCGCTTCTGGCGAACCAGAGCAGCGCACAGAAACGCCGTTTACCTTCCCGCCGGAGCGGTACCTATTGATCTACTTGCACTTTGCCGTGCTTTTGAACTGCTAGGTTGGCAGGAGCAGGGGCCGAGCAACGGGAGATCACCCCGTCACGGGGATTCGAACCGCCGACCTTCTGATCGGCAAGTCCTAGGCTCTGTGGTTTAGACAGAAGAAGTAAAATGGGAAATCTTGTGAAATCTAGGCTCTCAGGATGGAGTCCACAGCAACCCCAAGCAGGGTGAATAATACACCCTGTAACATTTTACTGAAGCTTCCCCTCCCCAAAAACCCCTCTGATAGAATCCAGAAATGACAAGAAAAGGTTGCTGTCTCTGTTGTGAAAAGATAAGTCTCAAAGAGAGCACATTACAGAACATCAAGAGGGTTATATAAATATTTTGACAGTGTTGTGAGTGGGACAATTAGCAAGCTTCCCTTCCTTCATACAGAGCCACACCCAAACTTAATGAAGAGAAGAGTTTTGATGAGCCAGCATTCCTTGGAGGTGAGGAATGTGTGTGTTTTAACTCCCTAGCCCTGCTTCCTCTACGGGGCTGAAGCTCAAGTTAATCAAATTCCCTTGTTTGTTTGTTTTGTTTTGTTTGTTTTTTAATGATCCCCTTGTGCAGCACAGCCAAGCAGAAACAGCTAGAGGCAGGGAAGACATCCTGCCATCAGAAACCTGAAAATGTTTCTTAGGTGAGGTTCATGTGGTAAGGGCTCACCTAACAAAATCTAAGCAGGTTTCACTGCTGTGACAACCTTGCCCCACACGGAACCAAGCAGGCTGTGGTTTGGGGAGAGGATTTGAAGACTTCTACCCACATCGACCAGGGTTTCTGTGTGCTGCTGTGGTTCGCCAGAAGCGGCTTAGTCCTGCTGGCCACATGACCCAGAAGCTGTACACCAGCTCCTTCGGCCAATAAAGCGAGATGAGCGCCGCAACCCCAGAGTCGGCCACGACTGGATCTAATGGTCAGGGGTCCCTTTACCTTTTCCCACATCAAAAAAGGCAAAAGCAGATCTGCAGCTGCCGGGACAGATAAGGACTGCAAATATACCCACAGCTTGCAATGGGTGTGATCACACCAAGAAAAAAAGGGTAGCACCCATTTGCCCAGAAATCTGAAAAAGTTCAGCTTTGTTCCTTTATAAAAAAGTTTCTGACTCATGAATTAGGTGTGTGCACAGTACATTAGTTACTGATTTATCATTGCCTGTGTCTGGTCACATTCACAGCACAATTGTGAAGCACTATGATGCCACAGTAATTCTGGGAGTTGTAGTTTCTTAAGCATGTTGAAAGTTGCCAGGAGGCCCCTAATTCCTCTCCCTGAGATACCATTCCCAGAGTTCCACGTGAAGAGGGATTGGTGGTTAAACCGCACTGAGATATTGTAGCTCTAGGACAGGTATGGCCAAAGTTGGCCCTCCAGGTGTGTTGGGACTACAATTCCCATCATCCCTGACCACTGGTCCTGTGAACTAGGGGTGATGGGAGTCGTAGTCCCAAAACATCTGGAGGGCCAATTTTGGCCATGCCTGCTAGGAGGTCTCCTAACAACTCTTGGCAGCCTTAAGAAACTACAACTCCCAGGATTCTTTGGGGAAGCCATGGCTGTTTAAAGCAGTATAGTGGTACCTCAGGTTACATACAATTCAGGTTACAGACCCTTCAGGTTACAGACTCCGCTAACCCAGAAATATTACCTCGGGTTAAGAACTTTGCTTCAGGATGAGAACAGAAATCGTGCTCCGGCAGCGCGGCAGCAGCAGGAGGCCCCATGAGCTAAAGTGGTGCTTCAGGTTAACAACAGTTTCAGGTTAAGTACGGACCTTCGGAACGAATTAAGTACTTAGTCCGAGGTACCACTATATTATAGTGCTTTAAATGTGGCCTAAGACAGCCTGAGTGTTCATTAAGGGTATTCTAAATAAAAAGCAGAACTGATGAAACACAGGTAACAAGAGAGATTTGGGGAAAGGCAAGCCATCTATGCTTTGCAGATACCCCACCATCACATGCAAGATCCCCCTGGTATTACTGTTTCCAGAAAAGAAGAATCCACTACTTGTGCATGAAAACCAGGAGCTTGCTTTGTGTATAAAGCAAACTCCTTCCAGCATTTTAATGAGAACTATTAATGATCCTACTAAAGCCACATCCCATGGCATGCAAACCAACATAGGTTCTTAAGCCCCTGAGCCTTCATATAGAAGAGGCAGACATACATCAAAGCCCCAGCCCTTGCACCAGCTTTAGCACAATGACGAAATAAATCCCCTTCATTTCAGCATGCTTTCGTGCAGATATTTACAGTGGATTACGCCCCAAATCACCACCGCAGCCCCGTCTCTTATTCAAAAAGGAGACCAGCTTAGAAGCATTCAGTTTGCTCCTCTGGGACCCGATGCTTTCTGTTCCTCCTCTTTCAGAGAGATATGAAGGTAGCAAATTATTGGAACAGAATGTCCTTCTGGGCCTGGGGATGAATGAAACCAGGTAACAGCTTTATCTGCAAACCGACATCCATTTTTCCTGGGACCAGGGAACCGGCTGAAGCCCTGCATCCGGCTCCTACTGCTTCTTGCTTCACAGCACAAAGCGGAAGAAAACTTTAAAGACATCCTTCTCAGGAGGTACTTGGATCTATGGAATCCAGCCAAAAAGGGGAGGTTTCTGCGTCACAAATGACACCCCCTCGGCACCCCCAAGCAGGCATTTGCCGAAGGAAAAGGCTCTGGAGCGGGAGTAAACACGGAAAGAAGAATCTGGCTGGAGGGTGGTGAACTCTCTGCAAAGAGAAGGCTGCCAGCTGGGAAGGGATTTCTAGTGAACCGTTCGCTCCTTCTGCCTCTGGTAGTCTGGAAGGGAAACGGGAGAGAAAGAATGAGGGGCAGAACATAAAGACTTCATTCCTAGATCAGGACGTTAGCCCTTCAAGTTCTGATCCTGTTTCTCATGCCCACAATGTTGGCATGAAGGCAACAGCTCTCCTCCCCCTGTTGTCCCCCAGGAACTGGTGTCCACAAGGTAGACTAGCCCTGAAGCTGGAGGTTTTATTTAGCCATCACAGCCATGGACAGACCTCTCCTCCAGGAATTTGTCTAATATATACCCCTTTTAAGCCATCTATAATGAAAGAGAGGTGTCTTCTCTTCCTACATGGAAATGTTACGGAACTCTACCCTATTTTAAAATACATATGTATGTGTGTGTTTCATATTTTGGATCTGTATAATGGGGGAGCACATTATTTTCCTTCTCCTCTTTCATGGATGTAGTGGGTCCCAGTTCATCTGACAAACATTGTCTTCCAAACAGGTCAAAGATTTTGCAAAGAGCAGTAGCAGCAACGGCAGCAGCAGCAGCGGCAACAGCACTTACTATATGGGAAGAATCGGACTCTCATAATGATCTCCCGAGCAGTTTTCAAGATCTCCACAGCCTGTAGGGGCAGGGGGAAAACAACAGATGAGCAACTGAACAAAGAAGGGCATCACACTGGGTTGAATCACTGATTTAACAACAGCAGCAATTTATTATTTATACCCCGCCCATCTGGCTGGGTTTCCCCAGCCACTCTGGGCAGCTTCCAACTGAATACTAAAAACAATACAGCATCAGACATTAAAAACTTCCCTAAAGAGGGCCGCCTTCAGTTGTCTTTTAGAAGTAAAATAGTTGTTTATTGCCTTGACATCTGGTGGGAAGGCATTCCACAGGGCAGGCGCCACTACTGAGAAGGCCCTCTGCCTGGTTCCCTGTAACCTCACTTCTCACAGCAAAGAAGGCCCTCAGAGCTGGACCTCAGTGGGATGATGGGGGTGGAGATGCTCCTTCAGGTATACAGGACCAAGGCCGTTTAGGGATTTCAAGGTCAGCACCAACACTTTGAATTGTGCTTGGAAATGTACTGGGAGTCAATGAAGATCTTTCAGGACCGGTGTTCTATGGTCTCGACGGCCACTCCCAGTCACCAGTCTAGCTACCGCATTCTGGATTAATTGCAGTTTCCGAGTCACCTTCAAAGGTAGCCCCACGTAGAGCGCATGGCAGTAGTCCAAGCGGGAGATAACCAGAGCATGCACCACTCTGGCGAGACAGTCTGCGGGCAGGGAGGGTCTCAGCCTGCGTACCAGATGGAGCTGACAGACAGCTGCCCTGGACACAGAATTTACCTGAGCCTCCATGAACTCCAAAATGACTCCCAGGCTGTGCACCTGGTCCTTCAGGGGCACAGTTACCCCATTCAGGATCTGCCTTTCCTTCCCATTGTAGAAGGCATCCCACATAAAGGATTTCAAGGCCGTCTCCCTTCCAGGCACCTCCCTAAACCAGCTTCGCTTCAGCAAGGCTGATACACCATGAGGCTTCAGACCACATCCTGTGGCTGATCCACGCAGGCCTCTGGTTCATCATTTCTCTCCTCTCACCTTGCTGTGCTCGATATCCTGGAAGTCGACGTCATTAACTGCCAGAACTTGGTCTCCTTCCTGCAATCCGGCTCGATGGGCATCTGAATCCGGGATCACCTGGGATCAAGAGAGGCAAGACCGCCGTTCAGAGAGAGGCCAGGAACTGCAAATGTGCCCATGCGACTCAACCCCCTTGGCATCTTGGGGAAGCTGGCCCCATCCTGTCACACAAATCACTGCCCTGCGCTCTGCCACTTCCAAACCTTTCAGTCCCCAAATGGTGCGGCGATCAAACTGCTGGCATATTTGTGAAGCTCAGCAGGGTCTGGTGTGGTTTCAAACTGGATGAGGAACTGCATGTTGAGATTCATGTATTGCAGGGGGTCAGACTACATGGCCCTCAGGGTCCCTTCCACCTCTATGATTCTATGAATCTGATGGATAGAAACTCAAGGCGAAGCTCCGTTGAAATGAGCAGAACTTGCTTACAACACAGGAAGGACTGAGCTGCTGGTCTCCTTGCCAGTTGTAATGAAACAGCAGAAGGAAAAGGTTTAGGACAAAGGGACAAAAATGAACCCTGAGGCTGCTGGGAGGGGCAGGCAGGATTCTTCCCTTCATTTTTATTTTGAAAACCTGCAAATCAAGCTCATAGTAGCTAGACTGAAATAAATTGTTTTTAAATCCAACCATTCCTCTTTTATCTAAGATTTATTTTATTTTTTTAACCAAGATCTGTACGAAACGTCTACGTCATTTACCAAAAATAATCATTTAAAGTTGCAATCCTCGGCCTGTTTGTTTGGTAATAAGCATGACTGAAGTATGTGGCATAAGCTTCCAAGGAAACATGCATAATAACGGATGGATATTCTTCATAGAGAAAGTGAATCTCATCAAGTAATTTGGCAAATGAACAGACATATTTTATGCTTTATTGAAATTAACATATCAGATTAGAAGGGGTGTTTTTCTGTAATTTTATATGCTAACTTAAACAAAAATACTCATAGGATGAAACTGCAGGTCATTCGACAAGTGCAACATATAATAAGAACTGGTGAATGAGTTTTACTTTTTCCTCTGCCCTCTTCAACCCCTTTCCCTTTTGCGCCATGCCTTTTATATTGCAGATCTGTAGGCAGGGACTACCTTGTTTTGTGATCTTACGTAAACTGCCCTGGGAGCCTTCTCAGCTGAAGATCATAGTAAAAATGCTTTTTTTAAAAATGACCAATAAACACAATTAATTTGCATGTCAATGAAGTAACAGAACTAGGCAGCCATGAGGTCGGGACTAAAGATCAACGCACCTTAGAGATGAAGATCCCCAGTTGTGATGCTTTTCCTCCTCGAATATTAAAGCCCAGCTAGAAAGGAAACAGAATTGAGCTGGAGATTTGGCAGTTCAACATATAGATTGTTCCTGAATACTGTCTTCTTCCAGACTGTTATTTCTGCAACAGACCTTTGGGTGAGAGAGGTCTACATCATCATTGCATTTTTACTGCAACCCACAATGACCCCATGAAAGAGAGGAACTGCTATCAATGGCCAGATAGATAAAATAAAATTTGTAAAGCACAGGGCAGGTTACAAATGCAGAGAATCCCCTCCAAGGATAGCTAACTTTTCAGCAGAGCATGGGTGAGGAACCTGGTATCCTCCAGATGTTTCAGACTACAACTCCCATCATTCCTCACCATTGCCCATGCTGACTGGGGCCGATGGGAGATGGAGTCCAAAAAAAGTCCGGAGGACCTCATGTTTTCCATGAGAGCCAGTGTGGCGTAGTGGTTAAGAGCGGTAGCCATGTAATCTGGGGAACCGGGTTCGCATCCCCGCTCCTCCACGTGCAGCTGCTGGGTGACCTTGGGCCAGTCACACTTCTCTGAAGTCTCTCAGCCCCACTCACCTCACAGAGTGTTTGTTGTGGGGGAGGAAGGGAAAGGAGATTGTTAGCCGCTTTGAGACTCCTGAAGGGGAGTGAAAGGCAGGATATCAAATCCAAACTCTTCTTCCAAGCCTGGCGTGGAGGGCCTCAGTTGACAAGCCTACAATCCCAGCTGAGAAAACCTCACACACCCTTGTAATCCCCATTTCCGCAAGTCCCCTGAGAGTGGGCCAAGACTCACCTGTGCCCCTGGAGGTTTTTTCAACACAATGGTACGAGGCAGGAATTGGGTCAGCTCATTGTTATAATCCGAATGGTAAATTCTCTAGGGGAAAAAGAGCAAGATACAAAATTAAAAAATGGCAAGGTGAATTTCATTGTGGAAATCAGAAACTTCTTGGGGTTCATCACGGCATTCCATGGCCTAGTTCTGCTCCAAGAAGAGTAAGAAAAATGGCTGAAGAAAAACATTTGGATCTCTTTTAAAACCTTACAACCAGACACCAGCGCTGTAGAAGAGGGTTAGCCAACTCCCAACTCAAATCAGCTCCTACCAGTATGGATTATATAATATACCAAAGTGAATTAACAATACAAACAGCAACAATAAAAAACATAAATGATTTCATATATAAAAATGCTTTGGAATCCAGTAGATACAGTCGGCCGGGGGGGGGGGGGAATCTCCATTGAGCCATCTTGTTGAAAGAGGAAGGTGGTAGTAATAATTATTTTTTGTTGTTGTTGTTGTCATATCCCCACCAATCTGGCTGGGTTTCTCCAGGTTTCCTGATGAGATTATCTGCAAGAGTCCCTCTGCTGCAGAGAGCAGTGATCAGTTTGGGGGTATATGGGGTGAAATGATATTTTAAACTTCAGTGGTACCTCGGGTTAAGTACTTAATTCATTCCAGAGATCTGTTCTTAACCTGAAACTGTTCTTAACCTGAAGCACCACTTTAGCTAATGGGGCCTCCTGCTGCCGCTGCGCCACCAGAGCACGATTTCTGTTCTCATCCTGAAGCAAAGTTCGTAACCCGAGGTACTATTTCTGGGTTAGCGGAGTCTGTAACCTGAAGCGTATGTAACCTGAAGCGTATGTAACCCGAGGTACCACTGTATTCTCGTCCCAAGATGTATAGCGCTTTGTACACCAGTTCCAACATCTTTAAAACAGCCTGGTAGCTAATTGGCAGCTAGGGGAATTAATTCAAAAGCAGTGTAACATAGAATCATAGAGTTGGAAGAGACCACAAGGGCCATCGAGTCCAACCCCCTGCCAAGCAGGAAACACCATCAGAGCATTCCTGACATATGGTTGTCAAGCCTCTGCTTAAAGACCTCCAAAGAAGGAGACTCCACCACACTCCTTGGCAGCAAATTCCACTGTCAAACAGCTCTTACTGTCAGGAAGTTCTTCCTAATGTTTAGGTGGAATCTTCTTTCTTGTAGTTTGGATCCATTGCTCCATGTCCGCTTCTCTGGAGCAGCAGAAAACAACCTTTCTCCCTCCTCTATATGACATCCTTTTATATATTTGAACATGCCTATCATATCACCCCTTAACCTCCTCTTCTCCAGGCTAAACATGCCCAGCTCCCTTAGCCGTTCCTCATAAGGCATCGTTTCCAGGCCTTTGACCATTTTGGTTGCCCTCCTCTGCACACGTTCCAGTTTGACAGTGTCCTTCTTGAACTGTGGTGCCCAGAACTGGACACAGTACTCCAGGTGAGGTCTGACCAGAGCAGAGTACAGTGGCACTATTATTTCCCTTGATCTAGATGCTAGACTCCTATTGATGCAGCCCAGAATTGCATTGGCTTTTTTAGCTGCCGCGTCACACTGTTGGCTCATGTCAAGTTTGTGGTCAACCAAGACTCCTAGATCCTTTTCATGATGGAGATAGTCTGACCAGGTGAGCAGTTAAGCTGCTGGAGTTTGCACTAGCTTCCAGGACAATGCCCGAAGCAGGTCCCACAAGAAGGGCACTGCAGTAGTCTATCCTGGGGGTTACCAGCGCATGGACAACAGCGACCAGGCTTTCTTAATGACCCAGGGATCTTTTAGATACACACCTCATGAGGAGGGATCCAGGTGGGAGGGCTCTCGTAGGGAGGCAGAAACACCACGGGATAGTCATCATATGAGATCCGGCCACAGCCACCACCTCCGATATCCATTTTGGAGTCAGTACAGAGCTGCGAAAGCCCCAGGCGATCTTTCCGAAGATGGGATGTCAATTCTGGGGAGAAAAAGTATACGTGGTCTGTCAACTTTCCTTCTTAAAGCCAAATACCGTATTTTTTGCTCAACAGACCACAAGACGCACCTGGTTTTTGGAGGAAGAAAACAAGGAAAAAATTATTCTGAATCTCAGAAGCCAGAACAGCAAGAGGGATCGCTGCGCAGTGAAAGCAGCAATCCCTCTTGCTGTTCTGGCTTCCGGGATAGCTGTGCAGCCTGCATTCGCTCCATAAGACGCACACACATTTCCCCTTACTTTTTAGGAGGGAAAAAGTGAGTCTTATAGAGCAAAAAATACGGTATGCTTCAAGGCAGGGAGAAATTAATGGAAAACACCCACACGCACACACACCCAAAAAGCTAGTGATTGCACAAGAGATTTGATGTCATCTATTTCCCACCAGCTGTGGTATAAATAAGAGTCTTTTTTGTTAACTGTAATTTTGTTCTAAAGTCGTCGTCTCTTCCTCCTCTCCAAAAAGCTTTCATGCTTTAAACTTTTGCATGAGTGCTTTTAAAAATCAAGTACAGTTTTCTCCCAGTTCAGAGATGTGATAGTGGCAATAGCTATGCTTGTTGAATCCTATATCTGTCAGAACACTATTAAAATCTGGTCTCTTTTAAACTAGCTTTGAACACATGTCTTTTTAGAACATCCTTTGGAGTCTAAATTGTCACGCAGGATAATGACGTTCATTTGTCCAGGGCTGGGTTTAATAATGTTTTGCTGTTTAAATGAAACAGGTTTTCATTTCATTCCTCCACCCCTAGAAGGAGGAGAGCTGGAGGGGGGAGATATTTTCATGCTATTTGAAAACAGATATATAAATGGCGAATACGTTTTACGTCTACTTTTTTTTAGCTTTATTTTATGCATATACAGATCTTGGATTAAGCGGGAGATAAAGAATGCCAAACAAAAATAAATAAAATATATATCTGCTCCCATTTGTACACGTACACAGTACAACGAATGCATATGCCAAAGCCTCATATTGCTTATACCAGCCTTCATTCCTCACTCCTTAACTACTGTCATGAAGTAGTGATTCTGCGAGCAAATATCGATGGGTGGGGCCCCTCAGGCAGGTGGTTAACAATTACAGTGGTACCTCGGGTTAAATACGCTTCAGGTTACAGACGCTTCAGGTTACAGACTCCACTAACCCAGAAATAGTACCTCGGGTTAAGAACTTTGCTTCAGGATGAGAACAGAAATCGTGCTCCGGCGGCACGGCAGCAGTGAGAGGCCCCATTAGCTAAAGTGGTGCTTCAGGTTAAGAACAGTTTCAGGTTAAGAACAGACCTCCGGAACGAATAAAGTACTTAACCTGAGGTACCGCTGTACTGTCTTTCCCCGAAAGTAAGACATCCCCCCAAAATAAGACCTAGTGCATCTTTGGGAGCAAAAATTAATATAAGACACTGTCTTATTTTCGGGGTTCACCTGCCGAATCTTCGAGTTCACCTGCCGAGGGGAAGAGAGAACATGCCGTAGATCAGACTGCCATTTGATGTCTTCACCTGGTGCCAGAGAATATGCCAATAAAGCCTGACACCCATTCGGTGCCTATGTGTGAGTTATTTGAAGCTCGGAGGGAGGACTCGGGAAAGGGACCTCCTCCTTGGCATGATGGCATAGCCGCGGATTCGAACAGGAGTTTTGGAGCTTCAGCACCTTGAGTGTGAATGGCAAGTTTAGACGGCGGAAAGTGTGCATCCATTCCAAAGAAAGATCTGTACTTTCTCCCTGGAATTGAAGAGGAGGAGGGGGAAGGAAACGTCCTAAGGCGTGCTATCCCTTACCCAATAACAGCAATAGCACTCTCAAAACTACCTCTTGACCAGGCATAGGCAAACTCCGGCCATCCAGATATTTGGGACTACAAATCCCATCATCCCTAGCTAGCAGGCCCAGTGGTCAGGGATGATGGGAATTGTAGTTCCAAACATCTGGAGGGCCGGAGTTTGCCTATGCCTGCTCTTGACGCTAAGGCCCAGCATTTGAACCATACATTTAACACATCATTACACAACTTTATACAGTGGTACCTCGGGTTAAGAACTTAATTTGTTCTGGAGGTCTGTTCTTAACCTGAAGCACCACTTTAGCTAATGGGGCCTCCCGCTGCCACCACACCGCCAGAGAACAATTTCTGTTCTCATCCTGAAGCAAGGTTCTTAACCCAAGGTAATATTTCTGGGTTAGCGAAGTCTGTAACCTGAAGCGTGTGTAACCTGAGGTACCACTGTAAACATTCGTGGCTTCTCCTAAAGAATCTTGGGAACTGTAGTTTGCCAAGTGTGCCAAGGAGACCTGACCCCCCCCCAGTCCTTTTTCAGAGCAGCCCTGGCAAGAGAGATCGACTGTTAAACCACCCTGGGAACTGTAGCTCTGTGAGGGGATTGGAGGGATTTTTTTTGGGGGGGGGGAATCTCCTAACGACTCTCAGCAACCTTAACAAACTACAGCTCCCAGAATCCTTTGGGGGGAAAACAATGGCTGTTCAAAGCCCTGTTCAGGGAAGGTTTTAATGTGTGACATTTTAATGTCTTTTTAATCTTTGTCGTAAGCCGCCCAGAGTGGCTGGGAAAACCCAGCCAGATGGGCGGGGTATAAATAATAAATTATTATTATTATTATAAATTACAGTGGTATCTCGGGTTAAGTACTTAATTCGTTCCGGAGGTCCGTGCTTAACCTGAAGCACCACTTTAACTAATGGGGCCTCCTGCTGCTGCTGCGCCACCGGAGCATGATTTCTGTTCTCATCCTGAAGCAAAGTTCTTAACCTGAGGTAATATTTCTGGGTTAGTGGAGTCTATAATCTGAAGTCTATAGTAGAGACATCACCTTGCCAACAAAGGTCCGTATAGTAAAAGCTATGGTTTTCCCAGTAGTGATGTATGGAAGTGAGAGCTGGACCATAAAGAAGGCTGATCGCCGAAGAATGGATGCTTTTGAGTTATGGTGCTGGAGGAGACTCTTGAGAGTCCCATGGACTGCAAGAAGATCAAATGCATCCATTCTTAAGGAAATCAGCCCTGAGTGCTCACTGGAAGGACAGACCGTGAAGCTGAGGCTCCAGTACTTTGGCCACCTCATGAGAAGAGAAGACTCCCTGGAGAAGACACTGATGCTGGGAAAGATGGAGGGTGCAAGGAGAAGGGGACGACGGAGGACGAGATGGTGGGACAGTGTTCTCGAAGCTACCAGCATGAGTTTGACCAAACTGCGGGAGGCAGTGGAAGACAGGAGTGCCTGGCGTGCTCTGATCCAGGGGGTCACGAAGAGGCGGACACGACGAAACGACTAAACAACAACAACAACAAAATAATCTGAAGCGTATGTAACCTGAAGCGTATGTAACCTGAAGCGTATGTAACCTGAAGCGTATGTAACCTGAAGCGTATGTAACCCGAGGTACCACTGTATTATCATCACAGCGCTTTCAATGCATGGTGCGGATGGGGCCTTACAGTGCAAAGCTAGGGAGGTCTACTCAAGAGGTGAGCCCTACGAAGTTTCCATAGGGCCTGCTCCCAGAGGATTCTCCCCACCCCATGCCCACTTACCTGGGAGTAACCCCCAGGGAAATCCATGGGACTTACTTCCGAGTAGACACCCAGAGGGCTGCGAAATCAGGAGCTTCCTTTGGATCCACTCCCACAGAGCTCAGCTGGGCCTACTCCAGAGTAAAGGGGCACAGGGGCGTCCAATCCGCTCCCTGGAAGAACCGGCCTTCCTCCTGCGGCTGATCAGCTGAGCTCCAAGGAACAAACAGAAGGCTCCTCCTCCTCCAATCAAAGGAGGCTCCTTTCCCGCCAGCCAGCCAATCAAAACAGAAGGGTATCACTACTCTACTCCTACTAGCTAGGCTCACTGTCAGTTAGCGAAGGAAGCCTGACGGTTGGTTGGGTTCCTCGGGAGGCGGGGAAAAATAAGGCACTCCAGCCTCTGAGGGAATTATGGGGCCTGTTTTAAAACCCAACATTTTAATGGCTGCGACGCTGGAAGGCCAGGGCATACACATTTCAAATTGGGGGGGGGGTTTTAAAATGTGAGGAAACGGTATTTGTTTTTCAAGCCTTCTCTTAATGGCAACCAACTTCTCGCCCCCCCCCACAGAAAGGGTTTGGGCGTGAAACTGATCCAGTGGTTACCATGGCAACGGTTGCTAGGCGCGCAGTCACGTGACCCAACGGTCACTTCTGTGAGGTAAAGGAGGAGAGAGGCCTACTCTGCTTCGTTCCCTCAGGCTGGCTCTCGCCATTTAAAAAATAAATTAAAAAAATTGATGTAAACCATCCTGGAGGGTTAACAAGGAAGGGCAGTGTACAACATTAACCCATAAACGAATGAGAGAGTTCTCTCACACGCATCTTTTAAGGAAAGAAGGGCTGACAATATATAGTCCTGATTTCCCAGCTCTTGCTTCACGAAAGAGACGCCATTTTGATCCCGGAACTTGGAAGAACTACAATTCCCATCAGCCCCTGCAACGATGACGGGTTGGGGGTTGTCATTCCTCAGAGTCAAGGCCAATGGCTGCTTTCCGTTTTCACTTGAAGTTTAGCAGTAGGCGGGATTTGTCTTTCCTCGTCTCACCCGCTTCACAGGATCACAGATCTATGGCCACGTTGCTCCATTAAACCAAAAATGAATCCATATTTGGGTTTCAGAAAACAAACTAAACTGTGATCGTGCTTTCGAGCTGCGCAGATACTTGGGTGATGAGACCTCGGTCAACTGCATTCAAATAGCAAGAGTTTTCTTCCTTTCTCTCTCGGAAGAAGTGGACAATAACAGAAGTTGTTTTCAAGATGAGTCACAAACTCTCTGAAGTCTCGGCCAAGAGATTTTATTCCCTGACCGGGTACAAGCATTACAGTAGCAAAGATATTTTTCAACTGTTAAAATCTTCGGCGATCTTCGGCGATCACTTGTAGCCGAGTATTATTGTCTTCCATAAACACCAAACCCATTCAGTTCTACCATTCGCTAACAGACTCCCGACACCTCAGATCTATTTTTTAAAAAAAAGATATTTATTAAAGTTTCCAATTTTTAACAAACAAAAAGAAAAATCAAACATAAAAATATTAAAAAACATGAATTTCATAGCTTATTTTCTCATATCTTATTTCCCCGACCTCCTCATACCTCCCCTTCTTGTATACCCAGTTTAAGTTGTTTATACAGCAAATCCTTATCTCCGAATCTTAAATTATTATCACTTTAAATTCTTGCTTACACAGAAAAGTTCATTTTATCATAATTACAGCTTAAAACCACTTAATTTCAATCCAACATCATTCAACATTCCTTAATTTTACAAAATTTTTGTAAGTAGTCCTTAAATTTCTTCCAATCTTCTTCCGCCGTCTCTCTTCCCTGGTCCCGGATTCTGCCAGTCATTTCTGCCAGTCCCATGCAGTCAATCAGCTTCATCTGCCATTCTTCCAAGGTGGGTAGGTCTTGTGTCTTCCAATACTTTGCGCCGACACCTCAGATCTAAGAGAACCCGAAAACTCTTCGCAACAGGTACACCTCTTCACTCTTCCATACGTCTATGGCGCCGACGGCGGTGGTGCTGACGTCACCGCGCACGCTGCCTCGGCGCGTCCGTCTGCATTATTTCCCCCCCCCTCCCTCCCTTGAGGTGCCCGGATTGGCGCGGCGGATTTGAACGTCGTAAGCTGAGGGAAAGCAGCGGCGGAGGCGGTGTCTCCGCGAGACGAGGCCGTTGGCGGGTCGGCCGGCCAGGTGACGGGGAAGGAGAAGGCCGCGCGCGAGAGAGAGGAGAAGAGGGTAACGGTCGCTTGCGGGGGGAGGGGGAGTAGGTCCCAGAACAGTGCAAAGCCCCCCCCCCGCCCCGCTTTTAACCCTTTCGGTCCCCTTCCCCGCCTTTTTCCTTCCCCAAAGCGCGTCTTCTTCGGGTGACGGTTGCTTTTAAATTTCCCAATTTTCCCCTTGGGTGGGGGGCTGTTCGCGTGGGACGCCTCTATATTCTTATTCTTCCCCCGGGGCGAGGTTCTCCTTCCTCTCCCCTCCCCCCCCGGCCCTGTTCGCATCCTCGCAACAACAGTCCTGTGAGGGAGGCTCAGGCCGAGGGGGGGCCACCCCCCCCGCTTCTCCTCCCCACCCCCCATCTTCGCAAGGTGCAGGGGGGTTGGGCACTTCTGCTGTCACAACAACCCTGCGAGGGAGGCTCAGGCCAAGAGGTTGAAAGACTGTCTCAAGGTAAATCTAAAAAATATCTAATAATAATTTATTATTTATACCCCGCCCATCTGGCTGGGTTTCCCCAGCCACTCTGGCCGGCCTCCAACTGAATATTAAAAACAATACAGCATCAGACTTTAAAAACCTCCCTAAAGAGGGCTGCCTTCAGTTGTCTTTTAAAAGTAAAATAGTTGTTTATTGCCTTGACATCTGCTGGGAGGGCGTTCCAAAGGGCAGGCGCCACTACCGAGAAGGCCCTCTGTCTGGTTCCCTGTAACCTCACTTCTCGCAATGAGGGAACCGCCAGAAGGCCCTCGGCGCTGGATCTCAGTGTCCGGGCTGAAAGATGGGGGTGGAGACGCTCCTTCAGGTATACAGGACCGGAGGCCTGTATAGTGGTACCTTGGGTTACATGCACTTCAGGTTATAGACTCTGCTTACACAGAAAGAGTGCTTCAGGTTAAGAACTTTGCTTCAGGGTGAGAACAGAAATCGCGCGGCGGCGGCTGGAGGCCTCGTTAGCTAAAGTGGTGCTTCAGGTTAAGAACAGTTTCAGGTTAAGAACGGACCTCCGGAACGAATTAAGTATACAACCAGAGGTACCACTGTAGTATAAACACCGACAATTGGGAAACACTTGACTGCGAGCGCTCCAATCGGAGAACAGCCTTTACCAAAGCTGTCCTGGGCTTTGAAGACGCTCGAACTCAGGACGCAAGGGAGAAATGTACCAAGAGGAAGGCATGTGTGGCAAACTCTCACCGTGATCGACTCCCATCCGGAAACCAATGTCCCCACTGTGGAAGGACGTGTGGATCCAGAATTGGCCTCCACAGTCACTTACGGATTCATTGTTAAAACCATGTTTATGAAGGACAATCTTACTCTGCTAATCGCCAAAGAGAGAAAAGACCCCTCCCCGCTTCTCCTCCTCGCCCCCCACCTTCGCACTAAGCGAGTGGGGGTTGGGCACTTGTGTGGCACAACCCCCCTGCGAGGGAGGCTTTGGCGGCTGTCCTGCTCTCCTCCCCCTGTGATGTCCTCTAAGTGAGCTTCAGGGCTGGATTGTGTATGGGGGGGCGGGGTTGGAGTTGAGCACTTCTACTGACTCTCCTTCCTTTAAGCAGAAGTTGGATGGCCACCTGCTGTTGATGCTTTAGTTGAGATTCCTGCACTGCAGGGGGTTGGGCTAGATGACCCTCGGGCCCCTTCCAAACCTGCCATTGTTCAGCCCGGACACTGAGGTCCAGCTCCAAGGGCCTTCTGGCGGTTCCCTCACTGCGAGAAGGGAAGTTACAGGGAACCAGGCAGAGGGCCTTCTCGGTGGTGGCGCCTGCTCTGTGGAACACCCTCCCATCAGATGTCAAAGAATTAAGCAACTATCTGACTTTTAGAAGGCATCTGAAGGCAGCCCTGTTTAGGGAAGCTTTTAATATTTGATGAATTAGTGTAGTTTAATATTTTGTTGGAAGCCGCCCAGAGTGGCTGCGGAAACCGAGCCAGATGGGCAGGGTATAAATAATAAATTATTGTTGTTATTATTATACTACAGTGATACCTTGATTTATGAGCTTAATCTGTTCCGGAAGTCCATTATCGAACTGAAACCATTCTTAAACCAAGGCACGCTTTCTCTAATGAAGCCTCCCGCCGCTGGTGCCCTTCCACCATTTGGATTCCGTTCTTGGACCGACGTAAAGTTCTCAAATCAAGATGCTATTTCCAGTTTTGCAGAGTTTGTAAACCACATCATTTTTAAACCGAGGTACTGCTGTACTACCATTCAATAATTCTATAACAGCCCTGCGAGGGAGCTCAGGCTGGGAGGTGGCAACCAGCTGACAAGGTCCCCAAAAACTTTTCATGCATGAGTGGAGACTTCTTGAACCAGGGTTATATTGGTTGTACTACTCAATATTTTTGAGTATTTTGGTGTCCCCCCCCCCCGCTTTTTGCATTTCTATTTATTGTCTATATGTGTGCACATTGTGTTTAAATGTACGTGTTAGAGATTTCACCCTTACTGTAAACCATTTTGAGAAGTTTCATATATAAGTGGACTTTGAATGATTAACCCTAAGTTAAAATAATATATTACATTAGGTTCAGAAGCAGTTTGCCGCAAATCAAAACTGGTGGTATTTCCCAGTGAGCTAATGCTTTTTAACTTTCCAATTTCTTTTAGGAAGATAACATAAAATGTCAAGGGAAGATGCCCGGGTCATCCCTGTGCGGGTGGCACTAAGGTGCCGCCCCCTTGTTCCTAAGGAACTTTCTGAGGGCTGTCAGATGTGTTTGTCTTTTGTCCCTGGAGAACAGCAGGTGAGGAAAGATTTGGAGAGTTTCTGTGTGTGTTTGTGTTTCATCTGCTCTAAAATGATGCGAGGGTCGTTCATTAAAGATTTCCCCTGACCCATTTATTGTAAGGTAAAGGTAAAGGGACCTCTGACCATTAGGTCCAGTCGTGACCGACTCTGGGGTTGCGGCGCTCATCTCGCTTTATCGGCCAAGGGAGCCGGCATACAGCTTCCGGGTCATGTGGCCAGCATGACTA